AGCGTCCTCAAAGGACCTACAGAGGTGTATGCTTACCCAAAGCTATATTCTGGCCAACAGGCAGTCAGGTATATTAATGCAGCGCATAAATTGTCTTTTGGCTTATCTGAACAACTTGTGCGCCAAAAATGCATTTGTCAGAAGTTACTTAAAGACGGCGCCGACACGGCCCAGAGCTTCGTGCTTAATTGGAAACATAATAAATGAGTAAGTGACTCGAGTTGAAAGTGGAAACAAGTCAAAAGCTGCACATAACACTGTAGAAATGGTGAACATTTTCAAGTCTTTTGCTTTCAGTTCAAAAAGTTTGGCGAAGCTTTGATGTGTTTATAAGGCTTTATTAATTGTTGAGTGTATTTACTAAATATTATTTATAGCTATATATTTTAATTTTATATTTTCCATAATCGAAATTTAAAATAAAATAAAAGGAAATTAAATTTAAACCGACTTAAATGCTACTATCCATAACAATCTCCGTACTTCACAAAACCTCTTTTCGAAAAATAAAACTTTTGAGGTTGTCTTTTATCATAATGCCAGTGCTAAAAGTTTATATAGCAGTGTACAAATTGATGTCATATGCACAAACAGACAAACATACATATAAACTATATAAGGCACATACACTTCTTAGTTTTCATTAAAAGTTCTGCATGCTTACCATGACAACGTTGCGTGGGCAGAACAGTGCGGGGTCCCATTGCGAGAGTTGGAAAACACTGTAAGTTGCTGACTGTGTCACGCCCACTGCTAAATACAATGGCAAAAAAAATCAAAACGAAAACAAAAAGTAAAACAAATTATTCAGGATGGGGATGCGCAATGCACAGCAAATGGCAAAAAGTCGCTGGTTGAATGTTTATTAATTTGTTTTTCCTGTTATTGCAAACGTTTTTGTTGTTGGCTGTTACTAGTGTTTAATTTGTAACTTGCTTTGCGCAGTTGGTTGGCTCAAGTTTTTCAGACTTTGTTAAATGAAATTTGCAACATAAACAAACAGAATTTGCAGCGAAAATAGGAGAAATATTAGCAGCGCTGTCAGTCTTATAATAATAATTATAATGTCACATTAATATGTAGCATTTCTCTATAAATCTGTTTATCGTATAACTGAAGTTGAGCTTTTCACTGTTAGAACTGGGTTACGGGAAATTCCACCCGCATGTGTGGAAAACGCGAAAAACATTGTTTATTTACCATTCCATTGGCGAAAATCTCGTTTTCAAAGATCTTTGTTCAAATTAATTTATGGGGTGTTTTCACACTTTTCAAAAAATGCATCCATCCTTAGAAATCCCTACATAGCAACCTAATGAAAATGTATTTTAGCAATTTTGGAAATTCCATTCGCTCTTGGATTGAAAGTGCGGGTTTATTAAACGAAAATTGAATTTTCGGCTTCAAGATTCGCACCACAAGACTAACATGGGCGGAAGCATTTGACTACAAAATTAAATTCCTTTTTGATGCACTTTAAATATTTTAGAATAGAAGATTAGATCTAGGCAGTTTCGGTAGACCAAACTTATCACGAGCAAGGCCGGACAATAGGACAATGACAATTAATGTCATGTTAAATTATCATATTCAAAATCACTTAACACAACGTCACGTTAAGAGTTAATCGGCTTAAGCATTAGCAAAACTTTTGACACTCTAACAGCGACCTTTTACATAAATAACATATAACAGGCAGCTATTCATATTAATATTTTCTTTATCACTCCCAATAAGAATCTGCATATAACATTGTGATGATATACCCTAAGCTTTTTTAAACAGCCACATTTTAACAACGTTATGCTGCATATTTTACAAAATTATAGAAGTGAGCTACAGTTAATTATCAAATGAGCACTTCAGATAACTAAGATTTGCTCAAATCGAGGTAAAGTTGTTTAAGGCCACATTCATTAGTAGTTTTCCCCCTTAGCTTAAATCCGCACAATTTTACAGTCATTTGATATTGTTTAATTATGTAAATGCTATGCACTTTAACAATGCCATTTAAAATTAATTTTCAATTAACTTGCAACTGCCGCCGAGCAGAAACAGGAACATCAACAGAAATTCCTGGCGCTCAAACGGAAATATTTTAAATGATTCTTGCTGTGAAGCTGAGCGAAAAACTTTTGCACTACTCTTAATAATTGGAGTTCTCTGGGCTTTTGTAGCTGCCAATTAATACAATGGGCGCCCATTGTGAATGATACTAATTTCCATTTAGATCTGGCCGACTCAAGTAAGTGGCGAAACAAAAGGCTCCCGTTGACAGTTTTCGCCACCTGAGCGCGTCTCAATTGAAAACTCAAATGCCAACTAAGAATTCAAGTTTCCAGTTAACCCCGGGCAGCTGCAAAAGTAACTGCCACGGCGATTTTAACTTTCAAACGTCAATTGTAAGTGCGGCTGCCCATACCTATGTATAAACGAGAGTGGGCTGAGAACTTTCTGATCTAAGAATTAAGGAAACCTGCCAAGCGCAATCAATTTATCAAAATCTTTTGTATTGAACAAAGAATATTGCCATGCGTTTTAAAATCGACCTGAATATACATTATCAAAGTAAACAAATGAAGTTTGGTCCACCAAGCAATTACTACGCAATAGATCAATCTTAGGATTCTTTAAGAAAGAAAGAAAAAAAGCACATTTCTTGGTTGAATCGTCACTTAAGGCAACTACAGTATGAAATTGAGCTATTAACCAATCAGTCAGGATAAACAGTTTCTTATAAATAGACTGCAGAGAATTCCTCAAGACTAGACGAAATCGAATAGGAGGCAGCTTCGACATTTACGTCTGTCTGTCTATACGTCTGTATGGACAAATCAATGTTTAATAAACGCAAGTGGACAATTTCGAGTGTGAAACTCTAGTTTATTATGATACATATATAGTAGATTTGCAAGCAAATAGCTGACATTACTAGCAATTTGTGCGTCTGCCGTTTGTTACTTAACACTAACTTTGTCGGTTAGGAGAGGGAAATCTGCCGGAGTGGTCTGTGTTTCAATTATCTGACAAAGTGTACCAGTTGAGGGATTTTTGCGAATCGTTGTCGCTTCACTGAAATCAGATTAAAGTTTGCCAAAGCAATAGACCAGTCGCAGCACCTGCGAGCCCTTGCCTTGGCTAGTTAAGATAGACAAAAAGGTGGGAGAAAGATTTCGATGTGTGTTGAAAAAAAAAATATCATCAAACTTTGTCCAGCACAGAGATACCCAACACAGCTCTCATCTAACCCACTAGCCATGGAAATGTAGTTGGACTCACATAACCTGAAAGTTAGTTCAAATGCGCACTGAATAGATTTACAAGTGAGTGTATGAATGCACGTACTGATGTACGTACGAGTGTATGCATGTGTGGCATAAAGTTTTAATAGTCTCACATTTGAGTGTTCTAATGATATGCTAAACTGCCAAACGAGAGGTTCTGCCTCAAGTTTACCTTGCCCTGCTCGTGTGGCCCGCTCTTCACATTGCCTTCAGGCCAAATTGTTGCAATTTAAAAAGTTTATCATCAACTGATGCGGGTCGGATTGCCAAGTCCCCAGCTATTCGCTTAACATTAGTTGGGCCCTGCACACAAAAAGCTTGCGGGCACAGTTGAGAACATTTGGAAAGGCACGAATATTTAATTTGCCTACTGAATATACACAAGTGTAAGATCTATCAAAGGGTAGTCGTTTATTTAAGGATTTTATTTTAAGGGGAGTCGTGTGGAAGAGGTGAAAACACAAGCCACAATCCCTGCGGCCAGCTGTTGTCCTACTGTAAGCATCTGACCACGCAATAAGGAAATAGGGTAGTCCAATTGTCAAGTAGGGAAAAGCACTAAAACTCAAAAGCTGTAGAAATAAGGTTTGAATGCGTAACATAAATGCTTTGAATCAGTTGAAAAGCAGCTCAAGTATTTATGAAAGTGGTTTAAGACACAGGTTTAAGTTGCTTTAGTGGCCTAAAAATTGTTAAAAAAAAGGTTCAAGAACAGATGCCCGGCTGTTTACAATAATTTTAAATGCGATTAAAGACCATTTTAAAATGAGGGTACAGGTAAAGTAAACTAATTTTATCTGGTTTAATCGTTCTTTAATTCAAATTCTAGCTTAACATTTAAACAGCTTTTAAATATATTGTCCATATTTGCTTCTGCTTATATATTCAGCCCAATAAAATTGTGTAAAAGGGGGAAAAGGTATTTGTGCACATTTATGTAACAGGCAGTCGAAAGCATCTCCGACCCCATTCAGTATATATATATTCCTAATCAGCATCAATAACAGAGTCGATCTAGCCATGTTCGATTGTCTGTCCGTCTTTCCGTTCTTCCGTCTGTCCGACTGTCCGTATTAATGAACGCAAGGATATAAGAAGCTAGAGGCTTGAAATTTTGAATGTAGGTCCTCTTTTTCCCGCGCAGTACGAATTTGTGTTCGATAATCAATCACTTGCCCCGTTTCCATGTAATCGATTAAAATCCATATCGAGTCAGTTGAGCAAAATTGGTCAATAATGAGAGCTAGAGTCACCAAACTTGACATGTTGCTTCTATAAAAGTATGTATATATCAAGTATCTTTCATTTTATAGTTATCACCACCTCCCCACTAGTTAGTTATTAAAGAAAATGTGTTTGCGCCTAATTTTTTTGCAAGAACTCCTGTATACACACACTTTCATACGCGTCTTCTTTGAATTCCATCAACAGCATTGCAATTGCGATTGCATTGTGTTCTGTGCTGTGTTTATCTTACTTGATTAAAACTGCTTTAAGGATAATTTAACATTACAAATAATAAATACCAATATTTTCAGAGTAATCGAAATATGCTTTCAGATATGCTCCATTCCAAATGTTCTTTTTGCCAGCACGTCAAAGTTTCATTTATTTCAATTATACCAGAAAACAACCCGAATTAAATTTCTCGGTATATAAATATTGAAATTCATTTGTTTTTCGTTTCACTTTTTATGATATTGATTCATTACTCACCTTGCCCAAATTGACGAAACCGTGTTCCTTGGCAACGGCATCGGCGATACCATTGTTATCACCGTTCGGTATGTGGACCGCCCAGGTGTGCGTATAATGGCCAGCGTCCCCGCCAGCTGCGCGCCCACTCCTGGGGCTGCCGCTGCTGCTGCTGCTGCTGGCTGCGCCCTTTTCATAGTCGAGGATATAGGGCGGAAGCAATGGCGACTGGGCGTGACCGGGCTCCACTTTGGCCGCGAAACCGACATTTAAATTACATAAGAAAACTACGATACTAAATTGTAAAATCAGCAGCATTGCAGTCGACGGCGACGTCGCAGTCAGCGACCACGTTCGCGTCGCCGTCGGCGTCGCTGTTGAGCATTCTGGATGTCTGTTGCGAATGCGTTTCGTTTTGTTGTGCGTTAAAAAACTATTTTTTAATAAATTGCAATTGAAATTGAAATTTGTTATATCACATTCAACGATTGTTTGTTGCTCTTGTTGTTGTCCTTGCTGCAAGGAGGAAATGGTTGCAGCAACACTTGCAGGTGTTGATTTGGGCTGACAAAAAGTTCTTCTGCTTACAACATGTTGCCTAACTTTATGCAGTGCGTTGTTTTTGATGCTTCCTTGTTGATTGTGTTTGTTGTTGACGTTGCAATTGATGCTGCTGCTGCTGCTGTTGCTGCAACTGCTGTTGTTGTTGATGTTGCTATTCGGCTGCCTGCTCCATCGCACGACGTCGTTTTTCATTGTGCGTTCGATTTGTGTTATTTTATTAAAGGCGTGTCTGCTTCCGTATGTGAGTTAGTTTTATGTTTATGTGTGTGTATGTAAATGATTTGATTGCTGCTTCCACAATGTTACTTTCTTCTTAACGTTGAGTAGCTACTGTAAACGCTTTACTGTCCGATTTAAACTGCAAGAAAACAACAGAATTGAAATTTGCATTACTATACGATGAAACTGAGTTGGAACATGGTTAAACTAAATGTTAAAAAATTTCAATTTAAAGTAATTAGACAAATTGGCATTTCAGGTATTTATCAGATGTAAGATATATTTCTCTCGCTATTCATTAAATATTGTGTTAATACAACCAAACTTTTTAACGAATTTTCTATGCGATATAATTTATATGTTAAAATAAAGTATTCACAAATAAACAGTGTTTTACACCAAATAGCTTCGAGGCAATCTGGATAATTCCAAAACTAAGAGACTTGTTTGCCGGGTCACCTACACTTAGACAAGCCGCTTACCCAATTTTATCCAGTTTCCTTACTTGCCAACTAAAATATTATTTAGTTAGCAGAAGCTTTAAGCACATAGTTGGCCAAAGGACAGTTCGCGAGACAAACGAAAAAAAATAAGTGCCTGCCAATGACACATTCAATTTGTTAACAAATATTCTTTTACAAAAGATGCCTGTGTCAAGAAGCTCGGACAAATCTCGGCTCATTAGCAGGCGACTTATGAGCCACAAATGATATGCGACATGGCACTCAGGAAAAGAAAAAGAAGAGCTCAAGGCGTAGTTGATGCCAATTGTGGACAGTTAGTTTGGCAGAATATTTTTTCTTTGGAATTGGCTAACATTTAGCTAGCGGGCCAAATCACATTGATTGCTAACCAGGCCAAACAGTTGTTGGCATTGCAAATGAGGCGCCGAAATTGGCCAACTGGCTTTTGACAAATGCCATTGTGCGAAAAGTGCCCATGACTGATGATGGCCCAGAGGCTAAACAGCTAACAGCCAACGGCCAGAGCATTGATTGTCATATTTCGCCGGCAATTGTGATCGAGTAGGACGATTTCTGGGTATGCAGTCAGCGCGTAATTAAAGCCATGTGAACAACGGAAATGGCCAGCTCCGCTAGCACCACCCTCAAGGCCAGGGCATCATCAGCCGAACGGATATTGTGGTGTGCGACGTTTGGACATGGTAATCAATAGTCAAGCGGATAGGAAATTGAATTTTCATGCGACAATAGAGGCATTCAATATGCAGTGGGGGATAAGCCCGAGAAACGAGTGGCTGACAAAATATTTGACAATTTTTCTGCTGAAGTACCATTGCCAGAAATGTTTAACAAACGAATGTTTTTTTATATACAAATTTTTTTGAGATAAGCACATACATGATATTGGAGTATTTTACGGAGTCTGCCAAAAATGTATTGTTAAAGTTTTCTGTTAAGACTCCAGGTACAAGTCGAAATCCTTAGATCTCATTCGAGATCCTCTATGCCTAATTTTGTAAGTAATTGAATAACGAATCTGCTTCAGTTCAAAACAAAATGTGGACTGGATTCGCCATCGATAGAATAGCTACGGCTATTATTTTCGAAATATACTAAGTAGTAGCTTATCTATCTTATTTTAACAGCAGTATGTTTATAGGCATAGCAGAGTCTCTTGAATTAATCAATCAAAAATTGAATTATTGTTTAAAATTGTTTTATAGGTTTTACTTTTCAGTAAAAATAAGTGCTTTAGTCAACTCTGAACCTCCTTGAGCTTGGAAGCGCATTGAGCTTATATGGGTTTAATTATTGCCGTAGAAGTAGAAAAACCTTTGAGGATTTAATAGTAAGTAACGCGTTGCTAGTAGAAAGCCACTATAATAGTGTTTACTTAAGAGATTCCCTTATAATTATGAAGTACCTTTATTTATATCACAATTCTTAAAGCGTTTCAATTCAGCAGCTAATCCTTACGCGTTCTGATTAAACGCTCAGTAATCTTATCCTTCTCAAGAATAAATATGCTGGAACCCCAGCCACTGACCGCATCACGATTAAATGATCCCAGCATTGCCTGTGCAATAGTCTTAAAAAGTTCTGTTGCATTTAGATTCGGGCTCCAAACGCTCTCGCACATGCCTACCAATTGATCCGAACAGGTGCCAGTAGCTACAAAATCATTTGTGACATTGGCACAGCCAATAAGATCCATGCAGCAAATATAAGGCTCAAGGGTTTCGGGATCAAGGCCGGCAATAACGGGCTCAACAAAGAATGGACCAAATCGATGCTCGTAAAGCAAATGGGAGAGTAGTTCCGTCAAGACTTTCGGCGACACTTCACGACCCTCATTGATCTCATAAACATTCTTGCGGTACAACAGACGATTGTACACAGTCATAATATCCGTCTGCAGACCAGTCAAACCCAAATACAAACGTGGCGATAGATGGAAAACCTTCTGACAATCTTCGCCAGCGGTGTGCGACTGCAAGCCAAATCGACGATCCGTGGCAATGCCAATACAATCCTTGCCCTGCATGGCAATTACACAGCCCCCATTATATGTAATCTTATTAGTCGTAGTCATTTAGCTTGAATTGCAGGAAGAACTATATAATATAATAATCCTTGTCGAGTAGTTCTGTGTGTGTGAAAAGTTTTTGATGAAACGATAGATTTCCAGACGAGCTCATAAAAGTTAAAGTTCTTTTCATAGATTGCTTAGATTTCTGGCGATGAAGAACGCCTGATTGAGTGGCCGCATTGCAATTATGTACGCCATAAACTTGTGTAACAAATTTTTCTGCTAAATTCTGGCCAGTATATAAAGTTTTGGGCATTGCGAAAAGAGTTCCTTTAAAAGCAAAAAGCAACAAAGTCATTAAAAACTTGCACGAAAAGTTTTTTGGGCACACTTAAAGTTCCAATTCCACTGCACTCTTATCAGCTGTATTGCACATGAATGCATATACCAACACCAGCAGACACACACTCACACCTACACGTTTACCTACAAGCAGATTGCATCACATGCCCCTTTTGTGCGGCAACTTCCGCATTGAAGTCAACCCCTTTTCCTCCGACTTCCTGACAGGACTTCCACGACTTTTGCCTCGTACAGCTCTCGTCTGGTAAACTTTGACTTTGACTGACGGCATTTGTCAGCGGCAGACACAAAGTAATCATTACTTGGCGCGCATTACGTCTGCACTTGCATTATAGGAACGCAGAGGGCGCACTAAGCGTATACTTTATATTAAGAAAATAAGTGCCTGTCAGCGTAGTTGGCGCCCATCGTGGGCCAGTTACCCACAACACACGCTCGACAGAACCTCACATGCCAACGAAAAGTGCAAAACGGTGTCAAAGTCAACGACATAAACATCATCAGCGACAACAACAACATTTTGTTCATCAAGGCGCATGAGTGGGTGTGGAAAGACGGGCAACTGCAGCTGGCGATGAAGTCGTCCCGTCTGCAGCACTCCAAGTGTAAAGTGTTGCAACGCCAACTTGACAACTTGAGACAAATTGAGATGTTGTTTTTTACACTTCTGCATGCAAACGAGAGGAGGATTGATGCGGTCCTCGACCGACTGACTCGTATAAAGCAAATAAGGTGCATCACAGCTGCATTCTAAGTAGATTCATGTGTAACTGGCGTGTCCTGAGATGTAGGTCAATATAGTGTATATTGTCGATTATTTATAGAATAGTTCCACTTCAGGCTTATGAGTACCGTCCTTGTAGAGAGAATAACATTTTATTAGAAATTTATAGAGACTCCAGACTAATCTGCGATACAAAATTAACAGCTCTGATAGCTCTGATATGTTAATGCCTACGAATGATTTTTAACACAACAATAATAATAATAATAATAATAAATAAAATAATAATTTTAGTAATATATTTAGTTTTCAACAAATTTATTGGAAGCAAACAATCTTTTGAAAAAATTTAAACATTTTAAATTAAAATGAAAACATTTGACAAAAATAAAAAATAAAAAAAATATCGATTTAAATTCCGAAGATAGGATAAATATAAGAAAAGGAAAACACAAAAGGATTGCAATAAAACAACTATTTTACATTCAAATAATTTGAGTTCTGTTTGCCTAAAAAGAGAATTAGCACTAGATCTTTACATTTTCCAAGAATTTTGTGCACATGGTTGTTTGAGAATTGGAAGGCTTATCCATTCACAATCAAGCACCTCATCAATCGAGCCTGCACAACACAAAACCCAATGCCAACAGCCGCAAACGGAACTCGAAGAACTGGCCACGAGAGAGAATAAAAAGGGAGTTAAAGCAACATATAATACAGTAGCAAACGAATAAGAAGGAAAGTTGAAGAAGGAGGTGCTGAGAAGCTGTGTTTTAGGCTCTAGGCTGCAGGCAGCTTTGGATTAACAGTCGGGCACTTGGCTGCTTGAGCTGCCGTTGTGGTTGGCAAGAGCCGCAAAAAGAAACTGCACTGCTGGATTTGTGGAGCCCAATGTAAAATCTAGAATGGAGCCGCTTTAGGGCTTGGGCGCTACCCAATCCTCTTCTGCTCCCATTGAGCTCTACACTTTGAAAACCGATGCCAAAACACATTAAGCCCGATGGCTTAAAAGGCGCTTGCAGCGGCAGTTAGCAGCTTGAAAAGGCTACAAAAGTCAAAAGCCAGCGTTTGCACGGCAGAAGTGCTGGGAAAGTGGAAAATAGTGGGGGCGTGTCACGCCCTTTGTTGACGCGTCTGTTGTGTTGGTTTTACGAGTATGTGCCTTCCCTCAACTCCAACTTTTATGCCTGCTTTCCTTGCTTAATGATAGTGGCCACAAAGCCAAATATGCCGCCTTCTAACGCTCTCTTACCAGCCTTCCCTCTTCTTCGTCTGCCGCTGCCACTGAGCAAACCCACAATCGCGGCTGCAACTGGAGCACAAAGTCAAAAACAAACGGGCTTGGTTAACGCCCGCAGTAAAGCGGCGGTTTTTTCTTCTTTTTTCTCTTTCAATGCAATGCTGTTAAAACATTAAGAATCTAGAGAGTGGTGCAATAGCAGGACCAAGTATGTCAAAAACCAGCCGTTTCTTAACAAAGTGTCAGCACAGGAAGAAAAGCAAATGCGAGGACAAAACGATAGTTCCTCGAGGTACCATGTTTCATGTATGTGTGGAAA